ACTGGGCTGCTCATTTCCTTGCTGCGGCCCAGTATGATCAACTTCAAGTTTTCCACATTCCTAAGCAGCTGCCACTTCGAGTTAAACAGGCTTATTGGTTGGATTTCTTTGGGCTCCCCTCCTTTAGATATTAATTGTTGTTCATTACACTTGTTTTGGGTGAAAACTATTATTTGTGTACTTTTTGGGAGTTATGCCTCCCCGGAAAGGTTTTGGTCTAGTCCCCCTTTCTTTTGTATTCTCTTCTATATTAATGAAATAACGGCATCTGACTCCCGACATTTGTCCCACTGATTTTGGTGGTTTGCCTTCCGGGATAAAAAAAAAAATATATATATATATATATATATATATATATATATAGGTTTTGGTTCAAATAAGAACACTATCTTATGAGAGAAATGAGAACGAATCTGGACCGTTAGATTTGTTTCAAGTGAAATTCAGTGTGCATTAGATGAAACTGTAATGTGCATTAGGTGAAATTGAATTGTGCATCACAAAGGGTACGATAGAGTGCCATTATGTGCAGTTGAATTGTGCATTACGTGAAATTGAAATGTGCACTAGGTGAAGCTGAAATGTGCAGAATAAAAAGTACGATGTGATGTTATTTTTGTATTTTTTTTCGCACATATCAGTTTCATCTAATGCACACTTGAGTTTAAATTTTTATTTTGCACATTTCAATATCATTTAATGCACATTTCAGTTTCACCAAATGCACAATTTGGTTCCACATAATACAATCCAACGGTCCAGATTCGTTCTCATTTTTCTTCTAAGATCTGTTCTTACCGGAACCGCTCCCTATATATATATATATATATATATATATATATATATATATATATATATATATATATAATATGAAGGGTCACGTAAACACATCCACCATGTTTTCAATCCAGAACTTTTACTCAGTAGGGATGAAATTACAAACAATAATGGCATAAAAAATATAAGCCCAAATCTAAATAATACATAATTCAATAAAAAAGAGCAAAAAAAATCAAATTAACCTAAAATATTTAAGACGACTTTACTAGAAATACTATATTCTATGCTCTTTCATATTTTCAAATAGTTGTGCCTCGTTCAGATGACGGTAAAATATTTTATCTCTCTAAGAGATTTTTGTATTTCTAATTTTTGTATTTTTTGCTAATAAGGAAATATATCAATGGACAAAGTTGTGTGTAGGCAAATGTCAAAATGAAAACGTTGCAACTCAAAATGAACATAGAAGTACATTTTTTCTTTATTTTGTTAATAAACATATTTTAAATATAACTTCTTTACAATTCAACACGTTAAACTAATTACACAATTTCAGTAGATTCAACCAAGTCAACTAATTTCAGTACTACCAAGTGAACTCCTAAAGATAAGATATTCATGCTTTTTGTCATGTTTTACTCATATTAAATGTAACTAATTTAATAAATAACATAGATATTAGTCCGTCGTGAATTAATGACTATATGACAGTGACCATGGGGGCTACTGACCGAACGTCAAGTTCGTTTGTCTCGTATGTATCGAATTAACCGAGTTAGGTTTACACTCGACTAATTTTTAAAGATCAGGTACTAGAGAGTGGTTTGTCAAACCACGAATTTATATTCATCAGTGTTTATTATATTAAAGATATTTTTAGCAGACCTAGTATTCTTAAATATTGTGAGCCATGTGAGCGGTAGAAGTGAAAAATCACTTTGAGGACGTAATTATAAGTATGTGAAGAAAATTTCTTAAATAGGACTAAAATACAAATAAAATGCATAAATAAGACCATCATTGTTTTCTTCCCACAATATGACTCATTCACTCTTAATTTGAGAAGTTTTTTACTTTTAATATGTTTAAATAGGCCACATTTGGAGAATAAAATGTCAGTAGTTTTATTTGTGCGTTTGCCTATGTTTTAATCCTATTTGGAACAGTTTTTAAGTATTTATGCATTACATTACATTTTTGGGATGTTTCGTGGTAGATCGGCTTTCTAGATTTGTGACGGTTATATTTATGCAAACAAATAGCCAAATAGGAGCTCAACAAGTTTACAAAAAGACTGGTTTACTTATTGATAGAGAAGACGACATCTAACTTCTAACCGATGACGTGTTATAGGCCTGAGTACCTAACATAATGGGTTCAAAGTAGTGGTTCCCCTCTCTTATTACTCTGCGTCTCCGTAATGCGAGTCCAAAGCATGTTGACAACATCATGTGCATAACTTATTTTTAATAGTAGTGTTTGAGTCTCAATTCATACTATTTTCTTTTTAGTTAGAATTAGAATTGTCAAATACTACCTCCGTTTCTAAACATCTTCTCACTTTCCTTATTTTGGTGTCCTACAATAAATCCCATATTTTTATAAAAACTAAATTTTTAATAGAAAATGTGCAATTGTACGTCTTTAATTTTAACCCGCTCTTCATTTAATTTGACATAAAATATGGGTATATTTTTTTTGGCCGGAAAACGCAAAATGGTTATATTAAAATCATTGAAACAAACATCCAAACATCCAGCCTTCCAACTACCTCGATCTTTCCTCATAGCCAATAGGCCCCCTCACTCACTGATGACATAGAATAGACTGTCCAATAATGAGCAAGACTAATCGTTGAACATGCGATAGATTCAAAGCTATTATCAGCCAAAATAGCCTGATCGCTTTCTCCCAATCTAATAACTAAAACCGCAAAGCAGAAATTAAACCGAAAGTTCTGAACCAAAGAGGGGCAAATAAGCCCTTGAACTAACCAAAAAAGTTCAAATCACCCCTTATAAAGGAGGTTTTGTCCGGACGTCGTCATTTGGGGCAGTTCCTGGTGGAATTTTTTGATTAAAGTTTTTGAGCATCTTTTTACCCATACCAAATTTCAGCTAAAAATAAAACCGGGAAGGCAGTCAAATGATTTTCCGAAATATAATGCGCAGTTATCTTCAAAAATTCATTTGACTGCCTTCCCGATTTAAATTTTAGCTGAAATTTGGTATGGGTAAACTAGACTTAATGAAGAAGATGTTCAAAAAAAATTATCAAAAAATTATACCGGGAACCTCCCCAAATGACGACAGCCGGACAGAGCCTCCTATATAAGGGGTGATTTGCACCTTTTTGGTTAGTTCGAGGGCTTATTTGCCCCTTTTCCCAAATATAGAAAAATGAAACAAGAAAAACTAACTAAAAGAAGCATCCAAAACCTAGCCACTGGTCTCTTCTTTGACGGTGGTTCAGGAGGGGAACGAACCAATAGCGCTTCACCCTCTTCCTTCAATTCCAACCGATCATACATCCACGAGTTGTCCCTGGCTTTATCTTCTTCCTCCATCTCCATTCTTCCATAAACTAGAGCCAATAACCAAGCATTCCAGCCCAGCTGGTTGTGAGGTTACTGTGTGCCTAGTGAGAGGTGTCGAGTTCGAATCCCGCTAGGCACACAAGGATTGGAAACTCAATGGAGTGAGTTTAGCCCTGATTACTCCAGGCTCCCCCCAGCCCCCTCCCCCAGACCCCCCTGGAGTAAAAAAAACCTCTATCTCCTCCTGCCAGTTGCCTTCCATCGCTATCATTGTTGTTGAATGAGAATCCCTTCAGCCGGAGCCCTACGGCGTTGCTGCGTTGCTCGATGAACCATCACACCAAAGGCTGCGGACGAATCGCCGCCACTAAACCCTAGGCAGAATGTCCACCCGTCCGCCTGTTTCGAGTTAATTTTGAACGATTCTAGAATATGGGTATAATTAGAAATTCAAATCAAACTTTAGCTTACGTAAATATTTGTGTAAGCCAAACCTGGAAATTGTTATCATGATGTAAGAGAATATACATACGGAGTATATTTCTAGCTTTAACTTTTCTATTCAAACATCTAGAGATTAATATTAAAATAAGAGAGTTACATATTTATTTGCGTGGTGTTGAAAGGGAAAATTGTCAAATAAGACCTTCTGTTATTATGGAATCGTCACATAAAATGATGTACTCAATAAAGTGCCATATAAATATGTCTACTTATAAAAAACAATTGGATGAGTAAAACGACCAATAGATAACATCCTAATCCTGATTTTAGCTAACATGTCATTATTTTGCCTTGTATTTAAGTCAATCGTTGCCAAATATTTCATGTCAACCTTATAATGATACGTACACTAAAATCAGGATTACGAGGTTGTCAACAGGTCATTATGACTCATCTGATTGCTTGTTATTAGTAGACGTATTTACATGACATTTTATTGAATACATGACTTTATGTAGCGATTTCATAATAGTAGAAGATATCATTTTATTGAGACATTAAAAATGAATCTACTTCACATTTCATACTTTTAATTATAAAAAAGGATTATTACCTTATTTTATCCCAAACTATCATCAAATTCACAAATCTATCCAATATTTTCACTTTTATTAAAAAAGACCTAAACATCAACTTTGCTCACAATTACACTTTCAATGGATCAATTAGTAAAACCAAAGAAGAAAATCATATTTATAATTCATATTTTCACGTCTTTCTAGTTTCAAGGTAACAAACTTGTTTTGCTTATATCTTATTGATATTGATAAAAATGTGTAATTTTGAAAACACAAAAAAGAAGAGCATAATTGTTGAAAAAGACAAAGTTTGAGTCCTTTTTTGATAAAAGTGAAAGATTATGATATATTTGTTAATTTGACGATAATTTGAGATAAAATAAGCTAATATTCCTATAGAAAATCATAGTTTTGCTAATCCCAATCCCAAGAACCTATATTATTTTACTAGAATCAAAGTATTTTGATAAACTCGTTCTATTAGTAAGGTCATTGAAAGTCAGAAGTAATTGAAAACTTATACTCCGGTATGAATGAATTATCTAAACTAATGATTAACGAGCCTGAACTTTTGGAAACAGCAGAAATTTTCAATTAATTACGGAGTAATTACAGTCCTAATCAGTTCATCCATCCCCAGTGACACACATAAAGGCAACCAACCCTTACCCTATTACCCTATAATGCCTATATCATGGGAAAACAGGTAAAGGGGCTTTCACAACGGACTTGATTTTCAACTGTCCACGCTTCAAAGACTTCCTCACTATCTATATTCCATATCTTCCTCGTATTCCACTTTCTTCCCTGAATATTAACGGGAGCAGTTGGCGAAAGCAGGCACAGGCGACAAAATCTGGGAAAGTGATACCTCAACTTCGAATCTAGGATTCCATAAGCTCAGGAAGCCGAGGAGGGGAGAATGAAGTACGTTTTGGTCACCGGAGGTGTGGTGAGCGGCCTCGGCAAGGGTGTTACTGCAAGCAGTATTGGTGTTGTCCTCAAAGCATGTGGCCTTCGCGTTACCTCCATCAAAATTGGTTAAATTCTGTTCTTATGAATTCAAAAGCAAACCTTTATCTTTCTTGACGCACTTATGGTTTTCTGTTCTTAGACTGTCTTACCGGTGTCATTTTAAAGTTTTTCTAAATCCCTTATGTTTGTTATTTAGCTGCGTGTTTGATTGCATTATGGTAAAGTGGCTTCATCATGCAGATCCTTATTTGAACACTGATGCTGGTACAATGTCTCCTTTCGAGCATGGGGAGGTTTTCGTGCTTGATGATGGTGGAGAGGTTGCCTTCAAATTTCTTTCTGTTTATTTATTGAATGCAAAGTTTAAAATTTTACTCCTTCGTGTCCTTTTTATTAGTTGAGTTTATCCAAATCATACATAGTTATAATGTTATTCACAGCATATCTAGTATTCTAGTTTAACCAAACTAACTTATTTTATTCATGAAGTCACTGCTTATTTGATCCAATAAGTTGTAGTTCACTTTTAGTGGTTCAGAATGTGCTTATATTTAGTTTTATGAAAGATGTAACTGGGAAATAAGCATTTTAAGGCTCCATAGGTAGGACCCAGGGGAATACATTATAGGTTTTATAGCACGTCTGTTTGTCTTCAGACTCCTCATGTGGATATATTTACTTCATAACTTCATATATGCAGATTGGTCTGCTCTAGTTTAACCATGTTAGTGTGTGAATATTTGCACCTATAATGCCTATAATAACTAAAGTGTGTAATTTCATGGATGGGCAACCTCTATATCTCTTGTACCCTACTGTGGTTCAATGCTTGACAAAATCCAATTTTTTGATAGGTTGATCTAGATTTGGGAAATTATGAACGGTTCTTAGATGTTACACTCACTAGAGACAACAATATTACCACAGGAAAGATATATCAGGTGGGCTAATCTTACTTTTGCTTTCTGTTTTTCTGGTAATGGTGGGTGCTCTGACTGCTTAAACTTGTTTTCTATTTCCTTGTAGTCTGTGCTCGAGAAGGAGCGTAGAGGCGATTATCTTGGAAAAACTGTTCAGGTGATGCTATGTGAATGTTTTTCTTTGGGTGTATGTGTGTGACAACTTTGATATTCTACAGACCCCTGATCAGGCAGATTATTGACAGTCTCTTTGAATTTCAGGTTGTTCCTCACATCACTGATGCCATTAAGAATTGGATTGAATCTGTATCTCAAATTCCTGTTGATGGGAAAGAGGGTCCTGCTGATGTTTGTGTGATAGAATTAGGTGGAACTGTAGGTGAGAAATTAGTAGATATTCCTGTTGGTGCTAAATTAATAGAAATTAATAAATATCTTTGAAAAGTAATTTATGAATACATATTTTATGAGTATATATATGAGGTCGATATTTTTTTACATGTCAATTTTCCTTAGGTGACATTGAGTCAATGCCCTTCATTGAAGCTTTAAGGCAATTATTTTTTACAGTTGGTAAGTTGCATTACTTTACGTATTATAATGCGTAGATTTTCACCATTTGGTAGTCTGTTTCTTATTTGTTTTAGTATTCAGCTCAAATCCAGTTACACATATTTTGGAGTTTTGTTTGCATTGTTTGGTTTGCTGATTACTGTACTGCATCTTTTATTCCTCAAGGACACGACAACTTCTGCCTCATTCATGTCAGTCTTATACCTGTGTTGGGGGTTGTGGGTGAGCAGGTAATATCCTTATACATGCTTCATTTGAGGTGGTTTTACTTTTATGCTTGAGTTCTAGAAACTTTACAGTTTCCACGTAAACTTGCTATACAGTGCCTGTCTGTAAGATATGCCCTGTCAATTTCTTATTTCATTGTAATTTGTTTATGCCCTTGCCCGAATCTCCAGACGTTCTTCGAACCAATCATAGGCTTTATTGAGATAGGGTTTTCTCGCTCAGTGTCATTGTTTATGAGATCATTTTTTTTGTATCCTGATGTCTCTCTCTCTCTCTCTCTGCACATATGCAGAAAACAAAGCCTACACAGCATAGTGTGCGAGAGCTGAGAGCGTTAGGTTTGACTCCCCATTTCTTAGCATGCCGCTCCGCACAGGTATGAGTTTTTTTAATCCTTTCGCTTCATTCACTTGAGAGCACAAGTGTGTGCTGTTTATCCGCTCGATACAGATATGTGTTTTCTATTATGCTGATACCATTACTTTGAAATGTTGCAGCCTTTGTTGGAAAGTACTAAGCAGAAACTTTCACAGTTTTGCCATGTCTCAGTAAGTTTTAATTGATCGGAAACTTCTCAACCCTGTATATAGAATCATGGTTTTACTTGTTGTGATCATTTACTTTTTACCCAGGCTAGCAATATTCTCAATATCCACGACGTTCCAAACATTTGGCATATTCCTCTATTGCTCCGGGTGAGTTCTCTAAATCACAATTTTCGTGTTTTCTTTAAAATGACCATTGCTTATGATTGTCAATTTTTTTGTTGCAGAACCAAAATGCTCATAATGCCATTCTGAAGCATCTAAACTTAGTCAAGTAAGCTTTAATGACACAATATCCTGAATTGCAGCGCTTGCTTTCTTCCCTGTGTAGTTTTGAATTCAAATATAAATTTTGTGATGCCATCCACCAACTCTATAAGCATCTAACATGTCACAATGACTTTGTGACTTATTTCGCAGTGTTTCTACAGAACCTGACTTGCAGGAGTGGACCAAGAGGGCTGAGACTTTTGACAACCTCACTAACTCTGTCAGTAGATTAGGCCATTATGTTCACTTCTAAATTAATGTGTTTATTACAATTGAGTAGAATCTTTCTACTTTTTGCAGGTAAGAATTGCAATGGTTGGGAAGTATGTTGGGCTAACAGATTCATACTTATCTGTGGTTAAGGTAAGATCGTTGAAATTTTGAACCTGTGCTGAATATCTGACTTTGTTGGCTGGGCGGCCTCCTGGGCCCATCAACCATAATTGTAATTGTGGGTATCTGGGTAAAGAACTAGCAACATGATTCTCTTATCAGTTCTATTGTTAGACTAATAGTCTTATCAGTACCAATACTCTTAGCACTTTAGCATTACTATTTATTAGTCCTATTAGTATTACATTCGAGTTCCGTTTTAGTAATTGGTCTGTTCGAATGCAACATTGAATTATTAAAGAGAACGAGAAAGTTTATAAGATCTTAGATGGAACTAGGTAATAGATTGGAATTTTCCTTTTAGTATGATTTGGTTCATATGCTTTATGGTCAATTTAGTGACTCTCGACCCATTCCATTTTCTGAATTCTGTTTTATCATATCAGAGCAACTTTTTGTCCTGCTGTCCATATGAAAGTCTATCTCCAACAGCCCATGATTTTTTAGCTTTAGTGTCCTTTTGGAATTCTGGCCCATACTGCCTGGATCCATTTGACCCGGTTGTTCGTATGAAAGCTCAGCCCCAAGTCCCAGCAATCTGTGATCTTTAGATGTTGCAGGCTTGCAGCTGCCTTTTGAGTTTTAGTTTGAGAAGGTGATAGAATCCAATCTGCAAGTGACCAACCGGTTAGATTGAGAATGTCGAAGTGGGAGTGCCAACATCCCACATTGAATTATTAAAGTGAGAGAGATGGGTTTATAATATCTTGGGCTTGAACTTGCATATAGATCAGGTTCAATCTTTTAGTGCGACTTTGCCGAAATGGTCTCAATTTCTCAAGCCAATCATGAATTTTATCAAGTTGTAGTAGATTGGAATTCTAGTAGAGTATTACTTACAAATAAGGACTTTTGAGTAACGAAAATAAACTTATGGACTTTTGAGGAACGATAATAAACAACTGCTCTGCCTAGGTTTTATTTCTTCTTCCTGACACTACTCTTCCGGCATCTGCAAGGAGACCTTGGACGAGAGCTACCACAAACACTCTTAGTCTCTTAGCTAGTTAGCTACACGGCTAGAGTATGATTTGGATGATTTGAGATTGCAATGAGATTCTGTAAATATAATGGGAAGTAGCTACAGAGAATAGTTTAGCATTAATGCTTAATTGAATTACCTGAGCAAGTGACCATGCATTGTGTCTTTTCTATCATATTTATTACAAAGGAATTTTTCAGTTAGCACTTTGAGCTGTGATTATGTGAAGTTGATTATGCTCTTATCAATCTTCTTCAATTGATAATTTCTCCTCTTTAGGCTCTTCTTCATGCCTGCATTTCGTGTTCAGTGAAACCATCAATTGACTGGATTGCAGCTTCAGATCTTGAGGATGAAAGTGCCAGATTGGTACATCACTTTTACCTTCTTTTCCTATTTGTGTTGACAACTAGTCTTTAATTAATTATTTTTGAAAATATTTCCAGGCACCAGAAGCGCATGCCGCTGCATGGAAGTCTTTGAGGGTAATTTTTTTCGTTTTTTTAGTGTTATAGAACATAATGATTTAGAGTCTAGATAATATGAAGATGTTAGTTTCTTTACAAGAAACTTGTATGATAGTTCTAGATATATTGGAATGAATGCTTGAGAATGTTGTGACTTGTGAGATGAGGAAACACTCGAGTTTTTATTTTTTATCTTATTAGAAACATTGAATGAAATATGTACTCTCAGGAAGCAGCATGCATCTTGGTTCCAGGTGGATTCGGCGATCGTGGTGTCAGTGGGATGGTATTGGCTGCAAAGTATGCGAGAGAGCATCACATTCCATATCTTGGGATATGTTTAGGAATGCAGATTTGTGTAATTGAATTTGCTAGATCTGTAAGTTAATTCTTTATAATGCTTTCCAATTGTTTATGTCATGCTTTGGCATCTTTAGTGGAGCAAAATCTCCTTTGGGTGTGTAAGGACACATTTTTTTGTGCTAACAAAATAAAATAAGGGAAAATTCCCGAAAGAGTAAAAACGTTTTGGAATTCTAAAATAGGAGTACAATGTTTTGTATTCTCTAAATAGGAGTAGTTACAGTCAAGCTTGAAAATTACTGCCATGTTAAAGTCTGGTAATGCAAAACATGTCAATGATTACTCTTTTGGGGGGAATAAAAACATAGTAATCCTATTATGGAGTTCATAGACATTTTTACTCCTATTTAGGGCAATTTCTTAAATAAATATTGTAGGTAGTTACTCCAGAGTCCAGACAGGTTACATGAACTTAAGTTCACTTAAAGCTGCCATGTAGCATAAAGAAGTTCACAGTTTTTATTCTTTATTCTCATATGGCTTGTCACTTCTGTGAGGTGAGTGTTTCAGGTTTTAAATTTAGAAAAGGCAAATAGTACAGAATTTGATGAAGAGACACCCGATCCTGTTGTCATTTTCATGCCAGAGGTAATAATATTCATTGTAGTGTTTAAATTCTTGCCATCCTCTTCTAATTCATACATCATGCTCATTTTACAGGGATCAAAAACACATATGGGAAGCACAATGAGACTGGGTTCTAGGAGGACATTGTTCCGCTCTCCTGATTGCATAACCTCAAAGCTGTATGACATGGATAACATGGTTTTCTTAGTCTTGAAGTGCATGAAAATGAACATATATGTGGGATGCTTTTCCTATGACCCTCTGGCCCAATTCAATGGATTTGGTCTAACTTTTAAGAAAAAAAGATTTATTGACAAATGTGCATTTACACACGCACATACACGTGTGTGGGCGTGGGATATCTGTGCATACTTATTTATGTTGTGTGTATTTTTTTCTCATGGTCCCAATTGTTGAATGCATGTCTTAGTGGCATGAATGTGCTATTTAGTATGCGTCAATTGTGAATCGATGACAGTGGATTCAACCATTCAATGACATCCTTCCTGCATGCGTACACGTGTATTTGAATGCATGTCTGTGTGATATTACATTGCAACAATATATGTGTCTTTGTTTTGCACTTCAGTGTGATTTTTCTCCTAATAATTATACTCATCTTTCTGAAGGTACAAAAATTCACAGTATGTGGATGAGCGACATCGGCATAGATACGAGGTAAAACATGTAAATTTGCATAAGGAGAGAAATGATGTGGGTTATAACTTTATAAGGTTATATTGCTCATATTCGGATCTGAATGGTTCAGGTCAACCCTGAAATGGTTGGTGCTTTAGAAGGAGCTGGTTTGAAGTTTGTTGGAACAGATGAAAGTGGAAAACGAATGGAGGTTAGTTTTGAAAAATCTGTTGGTTGTATAGTAGACTAGTTGTAAAATTGGTGGGAAGATAAAACACGCACAACCCACTCATGCGATCCTTCTGTTTTCTCTTCCTGCTTGCTGCAATCTCTAACAGGAGATAGCATAACAGAAAATTGATTCTTCTATATTTCTTGGTATTTAATTAAATTACATGCTATGTTTAGGTGTACTTTCTTCACTGCACTATTTTGTTGACTTCTTTTCTATATCTCCTGTTTGTCTTGTAGATTTTGGAACTTCCAAGTCATCCCTTTTATGTAGGAGCACAATTTCATCCAGAATTCAAGTCACGTCCTGGGAGGCCCTCAGCTCTATTTTTTGGTAAAATATTCAGAGTAGTTAATTACTTCTTATCTAACCTCTTACTATGCTTTCAAACTCTTATGCAATTAAATTAATTAAACACATATTGAAACATACAGTACGTTGCATAGTTTGACAAGCTTTTGGTAGAAAATTGGTTATTGTTGTAAGATTTCTGTTTTCAGTTTTAATATTTTAAACGAAGTTATTGACATGTTGTGAGCTTCCAAAATTAACATGATGCGTATAAGTATGCCTATTTTGGTTCTTTATACAGCCTATATGATGTCACCATGGCAGAATAATGTATCTTGTTAAGAGATTCATGCACGTGTGCACTCACTTATTAAAAGAAACGATTTGCTAAAGAAAAGTTAATGTATTTCATTCTCAATAAAGGGATTTTGTAATTTCAAGAAAAACACGTGATAATAATTGGTTTCATTATCACTAAAACTTATCAAGGATAATGTAGGAAAATATGAACATTAAAAGTTCATTACTTGCTTCTTATTTTGTGCTCTATAGGCACACCATAAAAAACTAAATGAGATGATTTCTTTATAAACAATTCTGACTTTTCCTCTAATTTCATGTGTACGGTGTAATGTGAGGTTTTACATGAAAACGTTTTCCTTTGACACTTTTGTCATTTACCCTTCGTAGGTTTTATCTTGGCAGCGACAGGAAAGTTATCTGCATACCTCAAAAGGGGTCTCCAAAATGGAGCACGGTAGCAACTTCATCAATTGATACCAGGTACATTTTATCTGCTTGTCCTCCCTGGGCCATCTGATATTTGCATCTGATGGTCATCACACAATGGTTGGGTCAGGCACTCGAGGATGGCGAAGATCTACACCATCCTATTTCATAATGGGATGGCTAGGTAGAGACACGTTTCTTTACCTTCCTGACAAGCAAGAAATCTGCTTCCATTTATCGTGCCTGACTTCGAGTAAAAGATTGTTTTCTTGTCTTCTTGGGTCAAAAGTGTGGCCTTGGATTTTCCTTCAAAGAAATATGCTTCCCCTAATCAGACTTGATGTCATTAATATACATGTGTTTCGCTTGCAGGGAGAATCTTGCTACGTTTGTGGTTGGATACACTCTACAAACATTCATTTTCATTTAGGAACCAGCTGGGTAAACAGGAAAGATGGAAATTTTGATTCATTGTCAAGGAAGATGGCTCCCAATCTCAGCTCCTTAATGTGTCTGTATTTTAGGTTGCTTCTTTATGTTGGTTTCTGGTGAAATCAGACACATGTATATTTAGTGCTAAGATATTTAGATTCTTGCCCAGGACTCTGTTTTTGACTTTTTGCCCAGAGTCACTGAATTTATCGTGGATAGTTTGTTTATCCTAACAAGAAAGTAGTTTCTCTTTTTGTTCACCCTATATTTAGTTACGCAATATGTGTCATCATTCCTAAATGAAATATTGAGTTGTCTAGACCGGCTTTGGCATGGGATGGATTTGGCTTGGTTCTAGACCGGCTTAGACCTGGTCTTTCCCTACCACTAAAGTGGGACTGGTTATGGAACACCAGTGGTACGGGATCAGTTCGGTCTATCACTCTACCCTACTGGTTTTGGTATTGGTTTGAACGGTCAAACCCGTTTTTTGATTTCCTCATCAAATGTATGAACCAGAAACAAATTGCATTTTTTTTGTTTCTTTATCAAATATCAGGCCTGCTTGTGTATTAACAGAGATTGTTTACAATTTCAGTAATGTACTCAACTACTCATAAAAATATTATATACAGCTATACTCAATGTAGTAATAATATATGCAAGTTGACATTATTATCCATTTAAACCAATAAAAAACAAAATAAGAAGAGGTTATATGGTTGGGCCTGGAACCTATTTTCCCGGGTTATACACACGAAAGAATCAAAACCGTCACTGGCGTGTGCCGTTTCCATGTAATGGTTCCAGTCTACTTCTCATTCAAACAGTTTCTGAAACAAGGTTGTGTCTGCCCCTAAAAATAGGGGTGGACTTGGGCCGGTTCGGGCCCGGTTCGGGCCTGGGCCCGGCCGGGCCTCGGTTCAGGAATGGGAGGCCCGGAACCGGCCCGTGTAACCCCCGGGTCCGGGCTGGGCCTTGGGTTTTTTTTTTTGACTTTTCCTAATTAACCCCCAACCCTCCCCCCTCACCCCCAAACCACCCCAAATGGCCCAAAATACCCAGCCCAACCCAAAAACTTAAAAAAAAGTCAAAAAAAAATTAATTTGGCCTGGACCGGGCCCGAACCGGCCGGGCCGGTTCACCAATCCTAGGGCCCGAGCCCAAACCGCATTCCTACCGGGCCGGGTAGACCAGAACCGCCCCCGGGCCGGTTCCCGGGCCGGGCCGGTTCAAACAGTAACCGGGCCGGGCCGCCCGGCCCGAGTCCACCCCTACCTAAAAATAAGAGTAGCTGTATATAGAAACCTGAATTGGTAAGTTAGATATGGCAATTGTTAGTTGTTACTGGTTGTGTTGTAGCATTGGTACTATGAGACAACAATAGCTATCCATATTTGCAAATTTTTTATCTGAAGATGTTTAATTATAAAACATAAATTGAATTGAATAGAACTAATAAATCAAAGTTTGAAAATGAAGGTTTTGTAGTTTTCTCTTATTCCTTTTCTGTTGTATCTTTCTGTTGTTTTCTCATAATCTGTGTGCTTATTAGGGTCTTAATAATGTATGTGGAATTAGACCCTAGTTTGAGCAACATGGATGGTGGACTGTAAAGTGCAATTGTTTGCTGGTACATGAGTTGGCTTTGTAACCGCTCTGACCAATACTATCATACTATGAGCATGAGCTGTTTGTTATATGATCTGCGTATTGCTAGCTTGTCAGTTGTCACGGTATATGAGAGTTCATTATTTTTATGCAAAAGTTGATGCCATGACGTTGGGTTTATATTATAAAAAGTGATCATAATGCTCGAGGATTCTTTTGTTGTTTGGTGCAACTTTCAATTGAAACGTTAACAATAATTGCTGCTTTTTACCAAGTTATTAGTTGAAACTCTAACAGCATTTTGGGGAAAACGCTATGTCGGCTTGAACTGTTTGTTTAGTGAACACTAAATGTCGTCAACGTCAAGTCAATCTACAACCATGGAGTCAACGTTCAAGTGTGCACACGTTGACCATGTAGGCTGAAAATGGCGAAATTCTGACAAAAGGGCTGAATTGACTGAATATGATGATTTATGAAAAAATTATGTAAAATATATTTTCAATAAAGCAAAACAATAATTATGAAAATAGCTCAAATAATTCTCTTCAACAATTTGAACCAATTTAACTAGGAAAGTAATGTTAGTCTTATTTGTATTATTACACAATTCAGTGCATAAAATTAAAAGTTACTACATATATGTTTGATATAAAAAAAATTAAATGATAACTTGATAAGACTAACATGACGAAAATGAAATTATGAGATAGGCTTTTAAGCTCTTTAAGTACCAAAGTTTATAAAGAGTAAAAAGTACTACCAAATATGGACATAAAGATAAAATCCATAATTTAAAACCATTAGTGGATGGTAAACTAACAACTTTTGTTTTCTTTTTGAATACTCGCTCCCCTTTTTCTCTATATCTAGTTTAGGGCCCGTTTGATAGCACAAAAATCGGTCGATTTGGTTGATTCTGTTGAAATTTATGAAGTTCTGACTAAAGTGGCTGCATTGGTTGATTCTGCTGATTTAAGAAAAAATTGTTTTTAAAATACATTTTATTAACAAAAGTAAAAAAAAATATGTAAAAATAGCTAAAATGGTCATCTACAGTATCTTCAGCCAATACAGCCAGAAAGTAACTCCAACCTTACTTTTTCTGCTTATTACACAATTCTGCGCGCGAAAACAAAAATTACATGTTTGGTGAAAAAGTTGGCTGATAAGCCTGATAAGCCGAAAAACAGTGTTGCCAATCAAGATTGACTTGTAATTTATGATCTGATTACACTAATGTTACATTCTAAAGTTGGGATCATGATTTGTATCCCATCTCAATCAAGATTGATATTACTACTGAACCCGTACAATAAATAGGTTAAAGGATTTGCAAAGAAATTCATGCTCAGATGATCAGGTCTTATTTGTAAAATCTGATATGAGTAAATTAAGTATAAATGCTATGAAATAGGAGTAAGAATAATATGATTTTCAGAAAATAATACTTCGTACAATCGTATTATATATTTGTTCAAAATAAGAATTTCCAGCTAAGAGCCCGTTTGGTAACAGAAAAATTGGCTGAATCGACTGATTTTGCTGAAATTTATGAAATTCTGGCTGACGTGGCTGTATTGGTTGATTCTGCTGATTCATGAAAAAATTATATTTAAAATATTTGTTATCAATAAATTAAATAAAAAAGTATATGAAAAAATAAATAAAATGATCTTCTACAGTAACTTCAGCCAATACAGTCAGAAAAATAACTACAACCTTACTTTTTCAAAAGTTACATGTTTGGTAAAAAAAGAAAAAAGAGGGCACCAAACGGGGTCAAAATTGGTTAGCCTAGGATGTTTTTACTTGGACTGTAATTTGTCCCAGACCCGACCAGACCAGTTCAGACCAGACCAATTCAGACCAGACCAGACCAGACCAGACTTGGATAGTTATAAAATTACAAAGAAACCAGACCTTACCAGACCAGACCAGTTCAGACCAGACCAACAAATTACACTCCAAGTAAAAACATCCCTAGTGTGTCATAATTAGGAATTAATGCGAATTATGTTATTCTGTAGTCTGTACTCCGTAGTTATCTGTAAGAACTTTTGCCACTTTTAGTCCCCGACTATTGTGTCAGTGACACTTTTGATACCCGCCTTTTAATTTTTCCTTTTTTAGTCCTCGACTATTGTGCGGGAGACACTTTTGGTACCTGTCTTTGAACATTTCTGTATTTAGTCCTTCGGCTTTTGTAAAAGTGACACTTTTGATCCTTCAACTATTGAAATGAAGTCATTTTTAGTCATCCACTTATTGTGTCAAAATCACAGTAGAAGGACTAAAAGTGTCAATTTGATAATACTCAAAGGACTAAATGTGGGAAACATGAAAGTCGAGGACTAAAAGTGTCTCTCTCACAATAGTCATGGACTAAAAATGGAAAAATTAAAAGTCGTGTACCAAAAATGTCACTGACACAATACTCGGAGGACCAAAAGTGGCAAAAACTCTTTATCTGTAATTCTTCATATTTAAGAAAAAATACAACAATGATTTTTTGGAATATCAAATTGTTTTTATTGTAGTTACTACGTATAGACAAGCCGATCTCTAATACTACGTCTTAAATGAAGAGGAAGACAAGAGTTTAATTGGGCGTGCCCGCGAGCACTTCACACCGCTGCAGATAAGATGACTGTCTTTGAAGCTCAATTTGCTCGTAGAACTTCGCGATGAACTGCTCCGCCTTCAAATCAATTCCATAGCTGTTCTCGCCATAATCATCCGCTGCTGTTTCGTCGAACAAATTCGAATCGGAATTGCCATTACCGTCACTTTCGCATGACATGATCCGGTCATGATCCTCCTCGCCGTCGCAGCGGCCGTCAAATTCGAAATCGCAATCGATATCCACATCGTGAGGGTTGATGCAGGGAATGCGAGGCAGCTTGGAACGGAATGAGGCGGCGACGGGGCGGCTCATCTTCAGGCGGAAGACAGGGGAGTCGTCAAAAGAGAATTGGCGCTCACCTAGACGGATGGCGGCGTAGGAATCGCGGCGGAGGCGGGACTGACGGCGGTGGAGGCTCTTAACGAACTTGACGGTGAGCTGTAGGCGGTTTCTGAAACATGTTCCTTTTCTGGCCCAGAGCAATGCTACACGAATCAGATCCCACGCTCTATCAGCTCCCGCCATTGTTGATTTCTTCATCTTATCCGTACTTTTCTGTGTATGTGTTTAACTTAATCAACTTGGATTGGAAAGTAGGCGTTAATGAAGAAAATAAAAGAAGCTTTTTCTTCTTCTTCACCCTTTTGCTTGTTGCTATAGTAGATTGCTTTAAGGCTTTTTATAGTCCTGATCCTTACAGAGGAAGCCAGGAAAAGTGATGGATCATATTAAAATGTGAAAACAAAACAATTTTCCACCCGAAGTAGACGCTGAACGGGTCAAGGTCTATTTACTACTGTAGAGTGTAGACGGAAGGTTTTTTAATCCTCAAATCCAATTAATATATTAAGGGCTTGTTTGGCCATTGGCGGTTAGCGGTTAGCGGATTGAGTCTGAGGGATCTAAATAGCGGATTGAGTCAGCGGGTTTAACCGGCGGATCAGTTTGGCGGATTCCAGAAAGATGTTTGGTAATTTAGTTGTTTGCTTTTAGCGGTTAATAGATAAAAAGACAAAAAAGGACATTAACACATTTCAATATTTCTTTCTTGTTGTTTAATATGATGTTATAAAAAAATTATATCAACAAATACGAACAATAATAATTAGCACAAATAATAACTTAATTTTTGATAGTTTAAGAGCAAAATTTATAGCACAAAATAATAATGAAAAAACATTATAGCATAAAATTTGTGATAGTTTAAGAACAAAATTTATAGCAAACAATAATAATTAGCACAAAATTCAAAATGAAAATATAATAATTAACATATTAGTTTAACATACCTGGCTATAGATTCCTTTGGAGAGTTGAAGGCCTGGCAACGAAGGTCTGCGGAAGGTCTTCAGAGGAAAGTTTGCTGCTGCACATGAAGGTCTTTTGCTGCCCACTTTACGGAAGAGAGGGAAGGGTACAGATGGGAATCGATTATTCATTCTGAGTCGCTAAACCTAAAACGCTTCAAACACTAGCGTAGTAGCGTTTTCATTTTTGGCATTTTGGGCCAAATCACCAAATTAAAAAGCCATTTTCCAAACAATTAAAAATTGTGTTTTGACCAACCCAAAACACTGAATGTGGTCAAATCCGCCAAAAGCTGGCTGAAATGCCATTTACCAAACATGGCCTAAATCAAAATAATGTAACATAGCTGATAATACAATCAATGAAAAAGAAGTAAACAAAGCCTTAAACATAGCTGATAAAAAGCCTTATGTCTGTCGTCCGCCCTCTAACCAGATTTAGAATATATCACCTCTGTAGAAGCAATAATATTTGTTGATCCTGTAATGGGCTTAACTGAACCAATGACCAGCAAACCAGACTCCTCATCACCTAACTTAAAATCTAGAATTCCTCTGCTAGGAAATAAGAACACGTCGAAAATAACATGGAATTCGAAAGAAAAACACAAACAGAATAAAACGGAATTAAAACATAGTTCACCTATCTTCTTCCAAACCCTAACCTTGCTTGCACTTCATGGCGGCGGCTCAGGAGGGGGACGCGCCCGCCGCTCATCCGCCTCAATAGTCATGCTTTTGTATTGAATGACGACATCCTCTTTTGACATCCCTTGCTGCTGAATTGAAACCATACTCCGACTTGAAACTATACTTAAGCAAATTGCAATTTCGGCTTATTCAACAACCATGATATGACTGCAAATGAGCTCGAAACACTGTTGCTTCCAAGCCGGGAAAAACAGAAAGAAACGAACATCGGCGCCGTGATCAAATTGATCACCGCTGGACAATCCAAGCTAGGCGTTGCCTTGCGGCAACCCTAGAGAGGGCAAAGAAAACGTCCGAAGACGGCTGCAAAAGAAACGTCCGGAGACGGCAACCCTAGACCTAGAGAGAAGTTCGAGTGTAGACTGAAGTTGACAACTTGTTTTCTTTCCTAATCTTTTATGATAAACTCTTTCTTTTTATGTAATCATTCTCATATGAGGATTATCTAGTGTCTATACAAGTAATTCATACTTGATAAATCTATTGCCGTAGTGTTACTTTTGTAGCTTGCAGTTTGGAGGACAATCGCGATAAATACATCACAACAGAGAGTAGATGAGAGATTAAATAATGCTTTTGAATACAAAAATGATGAAGAATTACACGGATATTCATTGAGCAGGTACGTAGCTCTCACTTCTCTTTGTGGAATGTTGGACACCTATTACATGATTAACAAATAAGCTTAGGATTTATGGAAGCTTAACCTTGAGATATATAGTATCTAAATGTGAGGAAGCGGTCCAGCCCAGCTGGTCGCCGACTCCCTCTCCCTTACGGGAGGTCTTGAATTCTAAACTCAATGGGCTGACTTTCAGCCTAGATTACTCCAGGCTCCTCTCAGTCCCCCTCTCCCAGACTCCCCTGGAGTAAAAACATAAATAAATTAATTATTAATTAAATAAATTAAAATAGTATCTAATATTAGGCTTTTGTATTACATGAGGTAAATGGGTCCTAATACATAAGTGGCCCATTACAAATAACTACTCTTTTTAATACACAATATAAAAATAATTAATGCAATTGGATACAATAAAATATATTTCTAGCAAATCTGTTCAATAGGAATCATAAAAATTGTTATTGACGTAGTGCTTGAAAGTATTACTCATGAGAAAATTACACAATATTTTAAAGGGAATGTAATTTTGAATAATGCCAAATCACCATTAACAATAATAACCGCTGGCCAAAAACTATGATTAGGATTATCATATATATATAGTCGGAAGAATTGACATATTAATATTTTGACTCTAAATTTAAATAATTACTAGTATAATGTATAACATGCATAAAAACTAGAAAATAATAATCAACCAATTATAATTAATGTTTTGAAATTTAAAAAGTTTGACAAAAATTGTGATTAGGACCATAAACGGAAGAAATGTCAATTATTATTTTGACTCTAAATTTAAATAAGTATAATGTGTAACATAAAAACTAAATAATCATTCGTTCATATGATAAGTATCTAGTATCTACACAAGTAATACGTACTTAATGAATATATTATCGTAGTGTTACTTTGTTCTTTAGGTACCATAAAAAATTGGTGTTGACATAGTACTTAAGAAATTTACGTAATATTTTAGAAGGCGTGTAATTTTAGATAATGACAAACTATCACCGATTAAATTATCTATATTAATACAAACTATATATATAGAAATAAGAGTAATCTTCCGGTCAGGTATACCTGACCGGAGCCGCCGTCCGGCCTCCTCCTTTTGGGGGCCTTTCCGGTGGTATTTTTTGCTCACATTTTTTGTGTATGTTCCTCATCAAGTCTAGTTCAACCATACTAAATTTCAGCAAAAAATTCAATCGGGAAGGTCGTCAAATGATTTTTTCAAGTTAACTAGTCCGGAAAATACATATTCCGGACCAGTTAACTTGCAAAAATCATTTGACGACCTTCCCGATTGAATTTTTTGCTGAAATTTGGTATGGAGGAACTAGACTTGATGAGGAACATACAACAAACATTGGAGCAAAAAATACCACCGGGAAGGCCCCCAAAAGGAGGAGATCGGACGGCGGTTCCTGTCAGGTATACCTGACAGGAACATTTGTGATAGAAATAATTAGTTCATACCCAACTATTCAAATATACGTATTTTTTTTAATAACAACACAAAATTCAACATAAAAACATAATAGGAGTCTGACAAGTAACCAACACTTGCTTTGCTTGCTAGCTAAATAGCAAAAAGATTAGGTATTTGTAGCCCTTGTGTATATCTTCTAGTTGGGTTGAGCTTGTATTTGGAGCTTCCCAAAAGAGCTTCTCATATGTAGCCTTATCAGAAAGCACCATGGTGTTCACCTTCTCCTTTCGCTTTCCGTTGCTCTACTTCTTTTTCTGCTTGCCACCACCGGTCTTGGCGGGCTTGGAGGCGGTTTGAGGAGCATATTCCTTCTTCGGTGCCATTTGATTATCAAATAAGCTTTTTTTATATTTCTACTAAGTTTTTGATGATTTAATGACTGGATTTGAGGCTGGGGCGGATACAAAGTGGGGGCAGCTGCCCCCACTCAACCCCTATATATATATATATCAAATTTAAAATTTTATATGTAGATAGTTATTAAATATGATAACTTGTACTCTCTCCGTCCCGCTAAGATTGTCCCATTTTACCTTTTCGAGAAGTCCCACTATGATTGTCTCATACTATATATATATATATATACGGAAAAGATCCTGTCCAGCCGGAGGGACAGGATCCTCCGTCCGGCCGCCGCCGTTTAGGGCGGTTCCCGGTAGAGTTTTTTGATGAAATTTTTATGGAATGTTCCTCATCAAGTCTAGTTTATCCACAAAAAATTTCAGCTAAAAATTCGATCGGGAAGGCAGTCAAATAATTTTTTGAAACATAACTGCGTTTTATATGTTTAAGTTGGAGCAGTTATCTTCAAAAAATTATTTGACTATCTTCCCGATCGAATTTTTAGCTGAAATTTTTTGTGGATAAACTAGACTTCATGAGGAACATTCCATAAAAATTTCATCAAAAAACTCCACCGGGAACCGCCCCAAAAGGCGGCGGCCGGACGGAAGATCCTGTCCCTCCGGCTGGACAGGATCATTCCTCTATATATATATATATATATATATATATATATATAGAATTGTTGGGATATGAAATAACTATTTAAATAATGTATATTATTATTATTGGTGATAATTGATATCATTTAAAGTTGTAGTCCCTGTTTTAAAATCTTAAAATTGATTCGAATATTTGTATAAAATGCATATGTGTGTGTCTATATATATATATATATATATATATATATATATATATATATATATATATGAGTAATGATCCGGTCAGGAGCTCCTGACCGGAACCGCCGTCCGGACCACGGCGTTTGGCCGCCTTCCCGGTGGCTTTTTTTGATGAAATTTTTATGGCATGTTCTCCATCAAGTCTAGTTTATCCACAAAAAAATTCAGCCAAAAACTCAATCGGGAAGGTTGTCAAATGATTTTTGCAAGTTAACTGGTCCGGAAAATACATATTCCGGACCAGTTAACTTGCAAAAATCATTTGACGACCTTGCCGATTGAGTTTTTGGCTGAATTTTTTTGTGGATAAACTAGACTGATGGAGAACATGCCATAAAAATTTCATCAAAAAATACCACCGGGAAGGTGGCCAAACGCCGCGGTCCGGACGGCGGTTCCCTG